TCATTAGGAATATACTGATATTTGATATAATTTAAGATGGGTATGGACAACTTGATTAGGGAATAAGACACTTGGGTTGAACCACATTAAAAGATTGAATTCAATCGATTAGTTAGTTCAACTCAAGAGCTTATATACCGATTATTTCGCTCTTGAACTTCCGATGTGGGATGATACTCTAACACTCCCCCTCAAGTAGACGACCAGACCATTTTGAATCTAACCGGTTGATCACTTGCAATTAGACTCTCATCCCCTTGATTTTTTTAGCGCCAACACCTAAAGGACAACGAGCCGCTGGGTATGGACTTCCAGACAAGCAATCGTGTTAAACAGGCCACAGGCCGTTGGGTACATACTCCATACGGACAACTGGGCTAAAGACAAACGAGCTGCTAGGAATGAACGTCTAGACGGACACCTTGACAAACGAGGTGGACCAAAACCTACTCTGATACCATGATAGAATTTAGGATGGGTATGGACAACTTGATTAGGGAATAAGACACTTGGGTTGAACTACATTAAAAGATTGAATTCAATCGATTAGTTAGTTCAACTCAAGAGCATATATACCGATTATTCTCTCTTGAACTTCCGATGTGGGATGATACTCTAACAATATTAAATTTCGGTAAGTCTAAAATGACACCAGTCTTACACCACTTCGTTTGGGGTACCTACAATGCTCCGTTTGTAAAAAACGACGGTTCCTACCCCCTAACCCTCCCCTTAAACCCCCCAGCCCAGCCCCACTCTTGCCCCCCACCCCAGGCCCCCTCCCTACCCTGGCAGTACACTGCGAGGTAGTGTACTGCCAGGGTAGGGAGGGGGGCGAGAGGGGGGGCTGGGGTGGGGGGCAAGGGTGGGGCTGGGTGGGGGTTTGGGGGGAGGGTTAGGGGGTAGGAATCGTCGTTTTACAAACGGAGCACCGTAGGTACTCCAAACGAACTGGTGTAAGCAACTGGTGTATAAGTAACTGGTGTCATTTTAGACGCTCCCATTAAATTTATATTCTACTCCCTCCGTCCTATATTGATCTTCCCACTTTGACTTTAAGTCATTTTTAAGGGATGGATAAATATGCATTTGACTTCCAAAAATACCCATCCTTTCCAAGGGCAGTGATTAGGGAGAGGGAGTGCACCATGGAGACAAAGAAATCTCCCAGGTTGTCGGCAAAGGTCATCACCGGCAGATCTTGGTGCATAAACCACATACCTCCTGCGCGCCTGGTTGTCAGCAAAGTTCAACACCGGAGTACATCTGGTTGTGGTCGGCGTTTCGGCGATGATGAAAAATTGCCCCTTGGTATCGGCAAGTGTGTGATGAATCGCCAATATCGCCCCTTGGTATCGGCGACGGTGAACAATCGTAGATCTTAGATCTGTGACTTTGAGAAAGAGAATTTGAACTTAAAAAACCGTAGATCTTAGATCTATGATTTTGAGAAGGAGGGGAAGAAAGAAGGAAAGGGAAGAAAGACGGAAAGGATTAAATCTATAGAGAAAGATGGAGAAAGTGAGAGGAAGGAGAGATGGAGGAAGAGGGAGAGAGAGAGGGAGAGGAAGGAGAGATGGAGAAAGAGGGAGAGGGAAGGGAGATGGATCGGATGAAGGGGAAGAAGGCACAGACAAAGACAAAGATGGAAGACAGAGACGGAAGACAGAGATGGAAGATGGATGACAACTGTTGAAATATTGGAATTATAATATTGCTCCTTGAATTATGAAGTACATGATAGAGTATATATATAGGAGAGACTCCTAACACAACTAGGAATATAGAAAGGAAACTAAATAACATACAACATCTACCACAAATAGGAATATAAAGTTGACTAATAATCAAACACTACCATTACCAATACTACAAGAAGTACTATTAGTATTATTGTCTAACATCCCACATCAAGCTGAACTCTGGCTGAAGCAAGAGGAAGCTTGAACACTAGTTGGAAACTGGAAACTTTGAGAAAAGAGAAGTCTGACATGCGTCGGTGGCTGCTCACGTCGTTGGAGAAGAGAGAAGGTGTCGTGCGCCGGTGGCTGCTGGCGTCGTTGGAGAAGAGAGAGAAGTTAACGTGCGCTAGTAGCTAGCTGCTGACGTCGATGAAGAAGAGAGAATGTTGACGTGCACTTGTAGCTGCTGACGCCGAAGAAGAATAGAGAAGGCTACTGGAGGTGCCTGTTTGACTGAAGATCCTTGACGTTTTTTTGTCTTTTTCTTGGATCCGGGCAATGCCCTATTTCCTTCTTAAAGGGGTGAGTTGTAGAGGTCTTATTTCCTCTTTCACTACTTCCACTCTTGGCTTTGGTTTTGTGCTGATTTACTTAAGATTTTTATTGGTTCAACAGAAGAGAAAGAGAAGGGAGGTTGATGATTAGAATGAGTGATTTTAGAGAGAAAAAGTAGGTTAAGAATTGGTGATGGAAAAAAAATTGGGTCTGAGATTTTGATATGGTGAATTGGAGAGAAACAACAATCATTTTTTTTTTTCCTTTTTTTGAGAAGATATGATGATCTGAGAGAGTTTGTGAGGAGTTGGGTTTTTTTTTGAAGAACCATGGAGATGGCAAGAGAGAAGCTCCTCCTTTCATGGATTTTTTTTGTGATTTCAACACAGGAATTTTTTTTTTTTTTTTAATGGAGAAGTTAATTTGAGAATAAAAGAAGGGAAAAAAAATAGATGTGAATAAGGTGGAGCCGCCGTCGCCGGAAATACCGGCGGCGGCGGTGGGACGTGGGAGCAAAGATCTTTTTTTTAGGTCACCAAGAGTGGTGGCTCCGATACCATGTTGAAATATTGGAATGATAATATTAGTCTCTCCTATATATATACTCTATCATGTACTTCATAATTCAAGGAACAATATTATCATTCCAATATTTCAACAACAACAATTGAGAGAGATGTTAAGGGTAATATAGTCTATTTATATCTTTTTTAAGAAGTGGGAAGATAGTTTTAGGACGGAGAAAAGGAGAAGTGAGAAAATAGTTTTAAGACAGAGGGAGTAATAAAATACTTTTTTCCATATATCAGAGTCAAAATTAATAAACTTTGACCTAGAAAAATTAAATAGGTAGAAGGTTCCGAGAGTGAGGGAATACTTTTTTTAATCAACTCTTGATTTGACAACAATTAGTAAAGAGCAAACCTTCCCCCCATGGCCATGCCCCAATTATTGAATTCGCGTGAGGCGCTGATTGGATGATATTTTTACATAATTTTTGGTACGATACAAAGCCCATGTCGTCCCTCGCTCAAAAGGCCCCATCTCTATTCTTTAGTCTCTACTTATTTTAATCCTTTGTGGCAATTTTTTATTTAAATATTTAGTCATTTATTGATAGATATTATATTTTCTTCATTTGTGAAATTTTGGGTACCCTTTTTTGTATATTTTTTGCTTGACTTTGTGTCATGTTAGTATTAAATTACGGAGTAAGAACTAAATATGCAATTGAATCACAAGGTCTTTGGACCAGAATTTCACATGGAAAGACACGAGATAAAAATATGCAAGGTACATTTGGAACAAAGTAAGGCATATGGAAGATATAAGATTGCATTGTTGTGTTGTACAATATCATGTTCAGGAAAGTATTATCGTGTAATTATAGTGTGCAACACTCGAGGCACAGATAACCAGATGACATTTCCAGTGTATCTAGCCAACTGATGGTGGACGACGTTCAGAAATGACTCGCCAATAACATGGATATGCGACCACGACAATGTAGTAATAATTAACTTATTAGTTTTTGACTTGTTTTTTTGCTTAATCATGTAATTGCTATTTCATATTTTCTAATTTGTTTTGAACACATATTTACATTTTTCGTCATTCTTTTTTTCGCGTAATGTTCAAATTTTAGTTACCAACTGCTACCCTTATCCCCCCAACAAAAAATACACTATCATCCATCACTTATTTGTGTAATTTGATTGATTATTTGATAAAATAAAAAAAATTCGTACCATTTTTTATTTTGTAAAACTTTTAACATAATTTTTTAATATATAAGTTTTTAAATTTCTATACTAATCTTAAATAAAATGTATAAATAAAACTTGAAAGTTTATTTCATTTTACGTGAAGTGCAAAATATTTTAGGATGCATAGAGTACTTTAAAAATATAAGTTTCATTCTTTATTTTTATGAAAATCATTAATATAAAATAAATTAAATTGAAGGATGTAAAGATTGTGTTTCATTTTCGCCAAGTGCATTACATTTTGAGACTCATGAAATATTGTTTATACAAATAAATGCATACCAATTTTAAACAACGATACCGTTCTATTTTAGTATTAATACTTTAATAATATTTAAACGAAACTTTAGTCGTTACTCGCTAGTCATTTCAGTCAAAACGGAAGTATTACTCCCGTTCAGACATAAACAAAGGTGGTCAGGCATAGCAGGGCGGGATACATAAATTAGAAATTCAGAATGGTTTTTTTTTAATTTTTTGCATCTGTTGGCCAAAGACCCCAATACACATAGGTATTCATATAATTTTTGCTCTATTACTAATAGTCTTTTTTTAAGTATGAATAAAAATTAACACAAACATCATATGGAAATACATTCCTAATCTTTTTTTTATACAAAAACGAAATATTTTCAAACAAATTTTGTTTAGGAATGAGGTTGTACTCCTTGAGAAATACGGAATTACGTAGTGGTACAATTATTTCTCGTATATTTCGGAGTATTATTAATTATTAACCAATTTTATGTACGCAACGCTAATTCTTTTTTTCAGATTTCGCTCCTGAAATTCAGAATTTGTCAGTAAATCTCAGCCGTTGATTCCGAAACGCCCATTGGAAAACACATCCCAGTCCCAGCATTAATTTCCTGGGCCCCACCCTTTGCCATGCATGCTCCGTATTTTCTCACGTGTCCTCCCGAAACGGAAAACCCTTTTTTCTCTCTCACGCCGTCAGATCCAACGGCTCAGATTCAATCTCTCCCGTCTACCTGTCACCAGATCGGAGTTCTATAAACACCTTCCAAACTCTCTCTCTCTCTCCTTCCATGGGAGAGAAGAAACCAAAGCTTTCCATCGTCACTATCTCGCAGCTTTAATTGTCTCTCTAGAAAATGTTACTGAGAAGCTCGTCTTCTCCGTTATTGAATTCCGTCGTGCCCATTTACAGTGGGTCTTCGTCGCCGGACTCCGACGGGTATGCCGTCCCGGCGACGAAGCTTCCCCGGACGCGATCTGTCGTTTGCGCGACGCTCTGCGGCGTGTCTGAGGATGGGCCGATGGGGAAGGGGCTGAAGAGATCCGGGTGCGGATCGGAATCGGGGAGCCCGATGTTTCCTGGGAGGAACAGGGGTGGCGTCATTAGGCTGCCGGCGACGGAGAGGCTGCCGGAGGATTTCGTGTTCACGGAGGTGGGGAGGCTGCTGTCGAATTCCGGCCTCGGGGAGGCCGAGGAGGCCGTGGAAGGCTGCTCCGCCCTGGCGGAGGACAGGGTGCCGCAGACGCTGGTGGTCGGCGGCGGAGACGGCGCCGGCGGGGGGAAAATCTGCGGCGGCGGAGGCGGCAGAGGAAGAGGCTCCGACGACGGGTTCGGATCCGGATCTCACGACCACGACTCCAACCGCTGGAACCGGCACCACAACACCGACGCCTATTACCAGAAGATGATCGAAGCCAACCCCGGCAACTCTCTCTTGCTCGCAAATTACGCCAAATTCTTGAAAGAGGTAAATTATAACAACAATTATGCCAGTCTGAATGATATTTTTTTTATGTCGGTAGGCGTTGCGCAGCTGTCAGGCCAACGGCTGCCAAATCGGTCATGCCCGAGTTCAATTTTTAACAACTGTGCTGAGAAGCAATTATGCTAAGCATATAACTTCTGTAACATACTCCATTTTTTGTCATCAATATGCGATTAAAATCTAATTTACCTTTCCTAAGTGACCTTCTGGCCGGGTTTGACAGGCCCTCGGGACAGGGCTCATCCTTTTTCTGGATAATATTTTTATGGTCCATTTGTTAAGGTCCATAACTCCATTTGTGAATATGAAAAGACCCTTTTGACTGCAGGTGAAAGGAGATTGGAGAAGAGCGGAGGAGTACTGCGGGAGGGCAATTCTGGCAAACCCTAACGACGGCAGTGTTCTATCGCTCTATGCTGATTTGATCTGGCAAACCCATAGAGATTCAGCTCGTGCCCAATCATACTTTGATCAAGCTGTCAAATCTGATCCTGATGACTGGTAATTCAATTAATTAACCACAAAATTCTCAATTACTTGTTGAATCTTGGGTGCTTATTTGAGGTTTTTTTACCACTTTTTTTCAAGGTTTTGATTTGGTTTTGTGTGTGTGAAATTGTTATCTAATTTAGTCCCATGCTTACTTGATTAATGTGTTCTTTCTGTGCATTGGGTCTATAGCTAGTTGTTAGTGTCACTATGCTTCATACTTTTCAAAACAGAACCAATCAAGGTATGTGTTTACTGGTCGAACTAGTTGTTCGAGTGATCGAACTAGTCGTTCAAACATATATATTTCTTTCGTTCTATTTTTTTTTACATTTTACTCAAAACAAAGTGAAATTTTAATTTTTCAAATTTATTTTACTTAAAGATTGACATAAAAATTAAAAATATAACTTACATATCTAAAAACTATGTCACAAATTCTATACAACAAAAGGTTACAAAAATGTTTTATTTTATCAAATAATTAATCAAAACGTACAAATAAATAAATGTTTTTGTAACTTTTGAATAGTGAAGAGTGTAATTCTTTTTGGGACTCAAAGAGTACATATATACTTCCTCTATCTCTGAGTATTTGTCAATTTTTGATTTTTTATCAAAATTGGTTAACTTTGACCTTAAATTCAATAAAAATAGTACTCCCTCCGTCCCTAAATAAACTTTTGTTTTTGATTTTTTGAGGATTTAAGGGAGGGATATTTTTGTGTTGATTTTTCAAAAATACCCTTGATGTGTAAAAGTAAGATATGATATGTAGATTATTAGTAAAAAAGTATGATGTGATAGGTAGGGTATGAAAAAGTAAGGGGTAAAAGAGTTTTTTAAGAGAAAAGAGAAGTTTATTTGGGGACAAAGAAAAAACGAAGGAGGGAGTTTATTTAGGGACGGAGGGAGTATTAGATATTGATACAAAAATAGTTTTATTAGATTTATTATATCAAATACCTTCAAAATATTATTTTGTCTATTTAATATAAAATATATATTTAATTTAATTATAGGTCATAGGTTGAAAACAGTTGACTAAAAAAGGTCAAAACTGGAAAAAATGTTCCGGAACAAAGTTAGTATACGGTAATACGGTATGCGTGTTTGACTACTTGTTTAGAGCAAATAGTACTGGTTAATCGATTTATAGAAATTGTATATTAATAATTTATATGTTAAGACAAATCAAACAAGATCACACATGACTATATTTTGGCTTACACATTGAGAGAATTTGATGAGTCAAAGTGCTTAGATGAGCAATTCCAAAAGTTAAAAGTGGACAAAAAGAGTGGGACGGAAATAGTAAATTGGAAGTCTCTTAAAAATAGCCTATCTTTTCTAATGAGAGCAAAGGGTCTAAAGGCACACCCTCTTCTAATTATACTTTTGTGACATCTTTATTAGATTAATTATTGTTATTGTTGACCTATCATTGTTATTGTTGACCTCAAGTTATAATAGTTGTAGCATGTGTAAGCTATATTCTTTGATTGGCTTTGTTATTAACTTATTATATGTACGTCAAAAAGATGTTCGTACACCACATGGTGTCATAGTGTGCGTAATGTCCAAATTTCTTTGCTTTTTCTTATTATATCCGTCTCGGAAATTTCCTATCTTCTTTTAATAACATTTTTTCACTTCTTTCTTAAAATGTGTGAAAAAAAATCAAATACAGGAGATTTTTTTAGAAAGGAATAGGGTTTAATTTGTATACACGTCTCAGTGGCCACGGAGGTTATTGTCCTGATTGAGACACATATGATGTTCCGTTTGTAAAATTTATAATCCATACCCTCTTAACTTTCCTGGTAAATCTTCCTGCCCAGTCCCCACCCCAACTCATCTCTCACTTACGTCAATTGCATCTCACAATTTTAGTTGACTTTGAGTTCAAAACTTTAGTCTTTAAACCTGAGGGTTTTAGAGGGATAGAAATTATTAATTTTACGAACGGAGCATCGTAGGAGTACAGTGGCTTCCGTGGCCACTGAAATCCAGTGGTCACTGAATCGAGCCATTTTTCTGAAGGATGAAGAATGGTATTGCTAATTTTAACGATAATTCTGGATGCAGCTATGTTCTAGCTTCGTATGCTCGATTTCTATGGGATGCAGAGGATGATGAGGAGGAGGAAGAAGAAGGCGAGGGAAAAATGGGGTATGGGATTCGGAGGGGCAATGCCGCCCCGGCAGCGCCAGAGTGGTTCCATGGAGCATCTCAATTGACAGCCTCTTCTTCTTGAACTAATCTCATGAGCTCTACCCATTAATCTAATCTCATCAACTCAAATCATGTAAATTGGAAGAATTATAAAAAAAAAGATATTTATGTATGAAATAATAATGGGAAAATTAGCCTACGTAAGAGATGGAGAACATGGCTAATGGTGTATAGAGTATTTCATATTTTTGTAGACATGTCATCGGTAAATACTTCATCTGTTCTAAAATAAAGTTTTTATTTCGGTTTATAATCATTAACTGAGTTATTTTAAATAATTCCTTCCTCTCCGAATTACACGGTATTTGTCATGGTACTGATAATTAGGTTAAATTTATTTATTTTTTTATTTATATTATTTGAATAAGGATATAAAATTCGAAATAAAAATTATAAAAATCATCTCAAATAAAACTAAAACATAGAAAAAAGTATCAAAACAAGAGTTCTATGTTTTTATTCTTGAAATAGGACTTCACACTGCGATGATTGTAATGTGGTACTGTTTATGTACACGTTATAATACTTTTTGGAAATAGACATGATCATGTTTGATAATGTAAATGCATTTTAACTCTTATTTTGAGAATAAAAATATGAAAGTTATATTTTGGCATTTTTTTAATATTTTACTCTTACTTTAATCTTTTTCTCTAAAAAATATTATATATAGAATATTTTTAAAAACTTTATAAAAAGCTGTATATAAAATAGACACAACTATCTTATTTTGACAATCAATTACCAAATTTAGGTAAAAAAACAAGATGTGTTGTGTCCATTTTGGATAATAAGTTGACGATTATTTTGGATAATAAGTTGACGATTATTTTGGATAAATCGATCACTGTAAACAAAAACTTTATTTTGGATAATAAGTTGACGATTATTGTTAAAATTGTCCAATTTACTAATATACAAAGCTAAAGTGAGAAAATGAATAGTGCATTTTCCCGCCAAAATGTATAGGCTATGGATGGGTCCGAAATGATGGTTAATGGCATGAGTAATCCGAAATGACATGGGTAATCGCGTATATATCATGGATAATCCGAAATGATGGTTAATGATATTCAATTAGAAAAGTCTAATCTGAAAAAGTAAATTTCACTTTATTGATTAGTGAAAATAGTAATTTCGTGCATTAATTGTTCGGTACCTTAGTGGCTTCTTCTCTCATTAAAACAAGAGGTTTTTCCCTCATTCAATACCAAGGGCTTTAGTCTAAAAAATTCTCTCACCAATCTCGAAAAACTGGCTTCAAATCGATTCTCTCATTCTTTGTGGACAAAGCTGGCAAACATTGAGAGGGGCCAAACTGGTCTTGTCATCCACGTTCAAGACGTTCGCGTATATGAAGTTGCTTCGTTTGGTAGATTTGGAGAATCCTTGGAAGTTGTCTTCCATGACGATGAGGTTTCATTTCTTATTTGTAATTTGTATTAACGAAAAAATTAATTTCACAAACTTTTGTATTAAATTACACTTGTTTCGATTGATCCGTTTAATTCATATTATTTTTTTTACACGGTAACACACACCCTTATGACAACGAGATGTTTGGGAGTGAAAGCAGTTTGTACAAGTCCACGAAGGAGATACTAATTAAACCAGATAATCCAATCAAGAGGAGATTGTTTGATGAATCTTCAACGACCAAGTCCGAAAAAAAGCTCAAATCAATCAAGGTGGAGAAATGATAGGCAAATCAGGAATGGAGAATGTGCTTTTTTCTTATATATGTTATTTGCATGTTTTAAAGGTTTAATATATGTTATTTTCTTATATTGTTATAATTGATATAAGGGTTCTATGTCGAAAATAATTGTGGTTTCTATTATTGAACCGCGAGAAATGAGATTTTCAAAAACATTAAATACTTAATTCGAATTTGTATTTTTTTAAAGGTTTAATATAAAACATTGTTTTATAATCTCATTGTACCAACAAATATATCTCAACAAATTACTTCCTGCGTCCGGAAATGATGTTCCCGTTCTACTCTTTTTTCCGTCCGGGAATGATGTTCCCATTTTACCTTTTATCCTCTACTCTTCCAAAAATACCCTTATTTAAAAAAATCACATTCTCCTCCATTTTCCTTTCTTCTCTCGCTTGTTTCTCGATTATCCTCCATCTCTTCCTTCTATTTCTTCTTCTTCACCTCAATCTCCTATTTCGTCCACTTCTTCCTCCTCTCCTCTTTCTCCCCTCCATCTTTTTTCTTCTCTCCTCCTTATTTCTTCTTCATCTTTCTTTTAGATCTGGGCATGGCGGCATCGTGGGTGGTAGCTATGGTGGTGATGATGACGACAGTGGTCTAGATGTGCACTTCTTCTTTTTCTTCTTGTTCTTCTTTTCTTTTTCCTCGTTTTTTGTTTTAGATTCGTGCTACGGTGGCGGCGATGGTGGGACTCGTGCCGATGGTGGGGCTGGCGCTGATGTTAGGGTTTCTGGCGAGGTGGGTGACGATGATGGTGAGGCTGGCGTCAATCGCCAGTGTAGATCTGCACTTTTCTTTTTCTTCTTCTTCTTTAATTCCTCTCTTTTTCCAACTTCTTTCTCCTCCTTCTTTCTTTTAGATCTCTGTGTCATGTTTGGGTTGTGGCAGGGATGGTGGGATTGCTACGGAGATGGTGGAGGGGGTTGGCGCATAGTCAGAGAAAGGGGCGGTTGGGGACGGAGGGGCTGGGTGATGGCAGTGGTAAGGGGAGAAAGGGCATTTTAGACCAATTACACCCATAGTCAACTTTTGATAAAAATGAGCAAAAGTTAAAATGGGAACATCATTCCCGAACGGAGGGAGTAATTATTAATGAAACAAGAGCAAACACATCCATACATCACCGTATTACAAATAAATTTCAACAAATTAAAATGTCTTAACAGTTGTATTATAGAGCCACAAACCTAACAATAGGTAATAAATGTCTAAACCTAGAGATACAAAACTTTTTTGATAGGCAAAATTTTTGTATTAAATTGCCTTAAAAGTTGCGTTATAGAGCCACGAACCCAACAATAGGTAATAAATGTCTAAATCTAGAGATACGAAACCTTTTAATAGGTGAAATTTTTGTATTAAATTGCCTTAAAAGTTGTGTTATAGAACCACGAACCCAACAAAGTGTAATAAATGTCTAAACCTAGGGATACGAAACTTTTTTGATAGACGAAATTTTTGTATTAAATTGCCTTAAAAGTTGTGTTATAGAGCCACAAATCCAACAATAGGTAATAAATGTCTAAACCTAGAGATACGAAACTTTTTTGAGAGGCAAAATTTTTGAATTGAATTGCCTTAAAAGTTGTGTTATAGAGCCACGAACTCAACAATAAGTAATAAATGCCTAAACCTATAGATACGAAACTTTTTTGATAGGCGCAATTTTTGGAGGCTCGATGTAAGGTACCTCCGTCTATCCATGTTTTGGGAGGTTATATCTAGAGCCACGAACCTATGAAACAATAATTTAGATAGTGTCTAGAGCCACGAACCTATTAAATACTTCTTGAAAGGTGTTATCTTCAACCACTCAATTATGTTACACTCATTTATTAAATTACCTTAAAAGTTGTGTTATTGAGCCACGAGCCTAGGAGAAATATCTCTAGGTTAGATTCTACAGGTTAACGTGCTACTTTCTATTCATTGTCCATCATTACCTGTTCTCCTTTAGTGCTACTTTCCAAAATTGTGTATCATTACCTATACTCTAAATATATATTGGGAGACATGTAAAATATGGGTTAACTTAAGGATATGAAAAATACACACCCAAACTTATAAATATTGTCTCGAACATATTTTTATGGAAATAAAAACTTTTTAGTAAGTGATAAAATTTTATAAAACAATTTCAAAAATTTTAAAATTTATAAAAATATACTCCGTATTAATCTTTATAAACATGAACACTTTAGAAGTTCTTAAGATGTTTGAACTATATATATATATATATATATATGTATGTATGTATGTATGTATATGTATGTATGTATATATGTGTGTGTGTGTGTGATTGGATGATAGAGTGAGAGGTGGGAGTTAAGATTGATTCACACATAGTTCCTAAGACTGTCAAATTCTGATATCCAGGTTCGGTTCTTCAGGCAGATGGAGAGATCGATGGGGATGTTGTTCACCGTATTGGAGCTGCATGGGCAAAGCGAAAATTGGTATCAAGAGTTCTTTGTGATAAGAAGAATTCAGAAATTTTGTCAATCGTAAAAATATAAAAGCAATAAATCTCTTTAAAACGAACCAATAAAAATACACTTAATCACTTGGACCTTTTTCCCATCAAGGGAGTAGAGCTGCATACTTAAATGGGCCGAGTTATCCGGCCAAAACAAGATTAGGTAAAAATAAAAGTTTGTTTAATAAACCAATCGAGCTTTTGGAAAGTTTCTGAAAGCCAGAGCCCAGCCCAATTGCAGTCCAAGTTACTACTACTTCATAATCCTCTTTTTTTGTTGAGGAACTTCATAAATGTATTGATTACAAAAGTTGTAAAAAAAAATCAAAGGGGTTCCATTGACATTAAATCCAATGTCATGAGATGACCCGGGAATGCTACAGTGTCCCATTCATAAAATTAAGTTATCACCTTGTTTTTCACTTTACTAGTAATATTTATAGACACTAAATTATATCAATATATGTAACTATAAATCAACATTACCTCTTTTTGCTTCCATAAGATGATTCACAATTGTTTACAATCATTCTTAAGGCATATTGCAATACATTTTCTCCTTATCATAATACATTAACTAGTATATCGTTCAGAATATTCTGAATCCTTCCAATTTCTTCCAGTTTTCTTCAAATCCTTTCACATTCTTCCGATTCCTTCTAACTCCTATCATTTAATTTTATAAATTAAAAGTTATTGTTTACATATTTCATTATTTCACATGACTATTAACATTCATTCATTAATCGTATACAAATATAAATTATCTAAAGCATTTTCCAAGAACAGGTGAAATCAATCTTTTAAGAGTAAATGTTAAGGAAATAATAATATTGGTATAATATTATTCAATGCATGCATGGTTATGGGGTGAGGAATGGAACACCATACGGCACTCTTAAGGAAATATTATTGTGTAATTATTATTGACCTTTTGTATACTTGGTAGAGGTTACTTTGTTTTCCTTTGTATACATATACATGCACATGATGTACTGGACCCGTGAGAAAATACGAATGAATACAGAAGGATTATTTGATCCTAACA